TTGTATTCCTAAAATAAAGCTAATTTGGTCATTATCAATAGAACTCTATACCATTCTAGAAGCTATTATTTTATATTAGATTTGTAAGACTATATTCACAAGTTCAATTAACCTATAATTTTCTTTTCTTGCTTAGTTCTTGCCTGGTTTCCCTAGGAAGATCATACTCTGCTCAAAAATGAGTTATGGAGTATTCCTCCTGTTCTATAATCTGGAAGTTTACTGAAGATTAGGACTATTTGCCCCTTAAATGGTCAACGGAGATCTGGTGATGAGTTTAGGTTCTTTTGCTGCTGGTTTGAGTTCTGCTGCTGTTATTGTTGCTGCTGTTACTGTTGCTATTGTTTGAAAAGAAAATGAAAGTTTTGTTTTATAGGTAGAATTTTTAAAACCAATTAAATTTCTTTACTGGTTAAAGGCTACTCAAGATTTTCTCTCTTGAGACAAATTTGGCAAGTTATATTTTCTAGGAATTTTTTCTGATTTCTAATATGTTAGTATAAAATATTTATTGTTCATGGAACCACGTTTTGATCTTTTCTATGTCTGTGTTCCTTATTTCATTCTAAAACTGTTACTGATACCATGTCCCGTTCTTTGATTCAACTTGAGAAGCATTTGCCTATTTAATACATTCTTCAAATTACCAACTTTGGGTTTTGGTGAAATGTCACTGTGTTTTCTATGTCATTAATTTCTGCTCTTCACTGTTTTCTTCCTTGCATACTTTGTTTATTCTGATAATGTTTTCATAACTTCTTAAAATGGACACTTAGCTATAAAGTTACATTTAAGCTGCATTTCACAAGTTTTAATACATATCATTCTAATTATCAGTTCTCAATATTTTATAATTGCCATTATGATTTGTTTTGTCAGATTAATTATGCTTGCCATTAAACTTGTAGTTTTGTGTTTCAAATCCTCAATATTCTTACAAACTCTTGGTCTACTTTATTTATAATCACTGAAAAACATGTTAAAATGGCACACTAAATTGTGAATTTGCTTCTTTCTCCCCCTACTTCATTCAATTTGTGCTTTATATATTTTGAATCTATGTGCATACAAGTTTAGATATCTTCCCAAGTACTGAACCTTTTATTATTATTATATAAAGCCCATCTTTATCCAGTAAAGACTACTAAGTCTAATATTAATATAAGCCATCTCAGTTTTCTTTCAGTTTGTATTTGCCTGACAAGTCTTTTTTCCACCCTTTTGCATTCAACCTTTTTGTGACTACATTTTAGCTGTATTTCTTATTAACAACAACCAGCTGGATTATCTTCAATCCAATCTAACAATCTGTCTTATGCAGTAAATACAGGCCATTTACATTTATTATAATTCTTCCTTTTATTGTAATCCTTAAAATACTACATGAATACTTCACCTAAAGGTCAAAGTTAAAACAACAGCAACAATACCTCTAAATACTCCTGATCATCCCAGGATCATATGACCAGTTAACTCTATTAAACCACTCAATCATATATTTATTTGTATCCAGTACTTTAAGACCAATTTGTTAATACCCCTTTAATTAACCATTATAATAATTACTACTACTGTTTTTGTTTTATGTATCAGTTCTTATTTAGAGCATTTCTTGTTCACCACTATTTCTTATATCTCACTTCTCAACTCAATTTCCTTCATCCTAAAGTACTCACTCACACAGTTTCTTTCAGGAAGACTACTGACTCATGAATATTTAATGTCTTCATTTAACTCAAACTGGATACGCAACTCTAGGTTGACAATTATTTTATCTTAGCACCCTGGAAATACACTTCCAGTATTTTCTGACATCTATCATTGCAATTTAGAAGTCAGCAATCAGTTTAACCCTCATTCCTTGGTAAGGGCTATGCCTTTTCATTCTGGGTACTTTATACATTATTTGTTTTGGTGTTGCACAATTTCTCCAGGATATTCCTGGATAGGGATTTCTTCCTTATTTATTCTGCTTATTATACCTTTTTCTACCTAATGCCTAAATTCATGCTTTTCAATAATTCTGGAATATTTTAAGTTAATTTCTACTTGAATATCATCTCTTTTCTGCTCTCTGTTGTCCTGAAATCACTATTAAATACATCAGACCTTATTTTTCATGTTTTCTTTATCTCACTGTCTCTATATCATTTCCTCACATCTATCCCAGATCTCTAAAATCATATATAATCCAATCAAGATTTTAACTTCAATGACCATTTTTCCCTTCTAATAAGTTTTTTCCTAACTCCTTTTGTATGTCTAGTTATTGTGTTTTTTAGCTCTTATTTAAACATATTTTATCATTAATCCTTTGAAGGGTATTTACGATTTTTTAAACTTTGTTAGAATGTTTTATTCAGTACCATAAACATTCACTAAACTACACAAAGCTAAAATTATGCACAGGACTGCAAAAGTGCCTTGGTAAATTTCCAGTCTAAGCTAAACAGAGTAAGCAGAGGATTCAATTCTAAGTAGTTGGTGGAAGATTCCAGTTCCTGTATTTACAGATAGCGGGTTAAGTAGGTCCTAGGATTCTAGTTTCTGGAAATACCTACAGACTCTCTCCCTAAAGCATGGCCACGGAGAAAATGTGCATTTAGGAAGCACCCTGAACAAAGTCTTTTTCATGGCAATGGACAGATGGAAGCCTTGAATGCCTCTGGTAGTCGAGCTGCTAGGTGTAGAAAGTCAAGCTCAATACTGAATCTGCATCCAGGAGGGATTGTCTTGCAGAGTTCACAAACAGCTGTGGGATCTAAAGGGCTGGGTGTCCAGTCAAGTGCAGCCGCTTTGGGAGGCCTACTGAGTCTTCTTCTGAAAACCCAGCCTTCCTTTCTAGGGCATTCTGTAGTTGGATTCATGATCCCCCTCTCCCACCTAAGCACACTAGGCAGAGAGCTTGCAGTATCAGGCCAGGTATCCCTGGCTCATCTGCCCTAGGGAAGTAACAGTAGCTGGGTCCCAGGCCAGTTTTTATAGCTCATTTAATAAAAAAGGATAACAGGTATCCCTAACCAGATGTGAGCACTAAGATGAAGGAGGCAGTCTCCTACCTTCCCTCTCTTTCACAGTCACCAGTGAAAAAGGTGAGGCTGGGCTGGGTGGAGTCAGGACACAGTGAACTGCATCCAGGATGCACAGTGGGAAGAATGTGAGAGGCAGGTGAGGAGCAAATGGTAGCTGGCTCAGAGCCCACGGCACACCAGCACGTATGATTTTTATCTAATAAATATATTATCCGCATTTTTATAATCTAATCTTGTTACTTATAGTATCTGCTGATTTTTAGCACTGACAGATTAACTCTTTTAAGAATTTGGAAATTTTGGGTGGGGCAAAGGCAATATATGTAACCTAAACACTTGTACCCCCATAATATGCTGAAATAAAAAAAAGTTAAAAATTAAAAAAAAGAAAGAATTTGGAAATTTTGGATTATGCGATCATTTTTATTGAAACATTATTTGTGTCAATGCTGTGTAGCTATAGACTAAGATTGTATCTTGTCAGAGAGGTCTTAGATTTGCAAAGATCTTTATACTGGTGATTCCTGTGCTCCTCTCCTTAACCCAGATCCCTTCTGTGTCACAGAACCATATTTCGAACTGGAGAGTCAGTCATTTTCAAAAATCAAAACACACACACACACACACACAGACCCATACACAAACACACACAAAAATAAACACATCCTGATCGACAACACCCAGGCAAGAAACACTGCCATCATCATATCCCTTGTCTCCCAATTAGTAGAGATTTCCTTTTTAATTTCACCCCTCCTCTCTATATTACCACTGTCTTTTCAGCAAGACCCTAACTGGTTTCCCCTCCAAACGTGTAAAGTTATATAACAGAATCTACATAGCTAATAACTCACTCTCTAAAATATACTCTATATAAACTTAATTATCACAGATATTTTATTACATGACTAAATCTATTATTTCTTTTCATTTAGTGACTAACAAGTGTATTGTGTTTTATTACATGTTAAATACAATACATATTAATATTAATCAACGGATTCTCTAAAACTAAGGTTATAGTAGGATAAATTGTATTTAGAATCTAAACACAAATTTTAGATGTTAATATCAATGTGCTTTAGACATATTTCAGTATATATATATTACTACTTACCTTATGAGCAGGTACCAGATTTACTAAAACTGTATCCAAAAGCTCCTGAGATACTGTATCACCTTCACAAATAATAGAACTCATGAGGTCTACCATGTGCATATGAACTTTCTGATTGTGGCCATTGCTGAAATTCAAAATAGACATTTTATTTAAAGTATAACT